GCATGCATAGGGTGGTCACTGGGCACTATTGCTGGGTTCATTTGGCAGCTTCTGGGCAATTGGCTAACATATTACAAGATTGTTAATATCTAGTTTTTGTTCCTCTACTTACAGAAAAGCAGTACTGCAGTTTGAAATTAACTAATTTTATAAATTTGAGATAAATTCCAACTTATCCCTTATTGTAAAAGCAAAGATGTGAAAAAGACCCCCCCCTTTTTTGCAATTCTCCACAATGTTTTAATTCATAATGCTTTATCTTTTTAAAAAGATGAATTCTAGAATGAATTACAAAAGAAATTGTTCCTAATTCATATGCTAAACAGCTGATGTCTGTTTTGGATTTGATGCTGCACTAAGTGCTGAGGCAGCTACAATGAGTGGCACCATCCCTGCCCTCAAGAAGTAGTCACTCTAGTCAGAGATGCAGGTGGTTCTGATGTGTGATAAAGGGCTCTTCTGTGTCAGGATGGGTCTGGAGTGAGAGGCAACATTGAAACTTTCCAGCCCAGAGCCACAGCCTAAATTGAGCTGTGAAAGTAAATTCTACAATCACTGAATCCACATTCAATTTTATTATTCTTTTTTAAAAATATATATATCTTTATTGGTTTTGAGAGAGGAAGGGAGAGAGGGAGAGATAGAAACATCAATGATGGCAGTCACTGATTGGCTGCCTCCTGCATGCCCCCTGCTGGGGATCGAGCCCACAACCGGGGCCTGTGCCCTGACCAGGAATCAAACCCCAATCTCCTGGATCATAGGCCGATGCTCAACTGCTGAGCCACGCCAACCAGCCTCAATTTTATTTTTCAGTTGATTAGTTTCAGGTGTACAGCATACTGGTTAGACAGTCATGTACTTTACAAAGTGTTCCCCCAGATATTTCAAGTACCCACCTGACACATACATAGTTATTACTATTACTGACTATATTCCCTATGCTGTACTTCACATCCCCATGACTATTTTGTAACTACCAAGTTGTACTTCTAACTCCCTTCAACTTTTTCACCCAGTCCTCCAACCCTCCTTCCCCTCTAGCAACCTTTAGTCTGTTCTCTGTACCTATGCCAGCTCCTTCCTTTTTATTTCACATTTTAAGATATTTACAGGTTGTGTTTGATATTCATTTATGTTTTGTAAATAACAGATGTTGCAGTTCTTATGTTTAGCTTCTGCAGGAAAGGAACGGCTGTAGCTGAAGGCTGAGGCGTGTGCTTTCTCCTAAGGCTGTGCGTGTGTGCTTTTATTTTTTTAATCCTCACCCAGGGATATGTTGGTTTTTTTAATTGATTTTTAGAGAGACATTGACGTAAGAGAGAGACATTGACCAGTTGCCTCCCGTACCCTCCCTGACTGGGGATCGAACCCACAACCTGGGTATGTGCCCTGACCAGGAACTGAACCTGTAACCCTTTGGTGCATGGGACAGTGCTCCCACCAACGGAGCCACCCGGCCAGGGCCGTGTGCACTTCCAAAGTCACATGCACACATTGTGTAAAGACTTGCTGACTGAAACAACCTCTTTTCTGTTTTGTTTTAGGGATAATGACTCTTCTTCTCGCCTAAGTTGAATAAGCACCTCGTGCACTTTAATCTTCTGTCAGCGCCATCAGGCCGACTGAAGACAGGGCTTTGAAATCTCAGCTATAAAGACTCCAGCCAAAGTCTCAATCTTGCCTTAACAATGTTCCAGAGACTGAATAAAATGTTTGTGGGTGAAGGCAATGCTTCTTCCAACCAAGCACCAGAATTCAGTGAGAAAGAAGATGATGAATGGATTCTGGTTGACTTCATAGGTAAGGTGTCCTCTGCTGTTAATCATTGCAGCAAAAGTGGAAACACTTGCATCTCAGTTTTTGCATAAGCAAATCAATAACTTTGAAGGTTTTTTAAGACTTAAAAGTAAATAAAAATTTGTATTAAAAAATTGCAGAAACATCCTGTCCAGACTTCCGTTTTGCAACTCTTACACCCGGATCACATCAGGGGCACTTTTAGAAAGCCCTCAGACTAGACAAGCAGAAACAGTCTGAAAGCCTTCCCGCAAAGCCAACACAATCCTTCCCTACAGTGATACACCACATACACACACACTGCTCAGAATTTATTTTATACTCATTGAGTGAATATAAATGATTTTGTTTTGGACCTAAATAAAGAAAGGAATGTACCCTGGCTGGGTAGCTCAGTTGGTTAGAGTGTCGTCCCAATATGCCAAGATTGTGGGTTCGAGTCCTGCTTCAGGGCACATGCAAGAATCAGCCAATGATGCATAAATAAGTGGAACCACAAATCGACATTTCTCTCTTTCCCCTTCCTCTCTATAAAATAAAAAATAAAGTGAAGGAATGTGAGCATCAGCTAATAGCAGCTTCTCTCTTCCTTTTCTGTGCTCTGATGTGATGTCTCTGTGACACATCCTCCTGTGGGACTTCCAATACCCATGGACCCCGATCTAGACACTTGCACTGGTTTGTCAGCAGCTGAAGATGAGGAAGAAGACATCAGTGAAGAGTCACATGCCGAACACCCTTCCGTCTTCTCCTGTTTACCTGCATCTCTTGAGTGCTTGGCTGATACAAGTGATTCCTGCTTCCTCCAGTTTGAATCCTGTCCGATGGAAGAGAGCTGGTTTATCACCCCTCCACCGTGTTTCACTGCAGGAGGATTAACCACTATCAAGGTGGAAACCAGTCCTATGGAAAACCTTCTGATCGAGCATCCCAGCATGTCTGTCTACGCCGTGCATAACACCTGCCCTGGTCTCAACGAGACCAGCTGTGGGGCTGACGAATTTCATAACCCAGGTGGTCCCAGGTACGTCATATTTGCCTCTCTCCACAGGCATTCTGTTCAGTATGCATTTTATTTATTTTTACTACAATTCAAAGCTAAGTTTCTAGAAGATGCGAGAGTAATTTTGTTAGAGATTTATGAAAGTACGTGCATAGTGCACAAAGCAGTTGATGGTATAAAAAACTTGTTCAGTCTAGATTTTAGGAAAGTTCTCTATCCTCTTGAGCTGTTTTTGTCTTCAAAGCACTTGTTAACATTCATTGCATTTATTCTCTACATGTATACATGTATATATACACACGCATCTGTTATTGTTTTGCAGAAAGCAGGTAGTTGACGTGCTGAGTAATTTTCAGTGGTGAACACTTAAGGGAATAGGATGATTTTGTAGGAAACAAATGACATTCAAATATAAGATACTGTGGGAAAAGAAACAAATTGTAGCATGCTCGTTATATAATGGAGAGCCATCCATTTATAGCACTCAGCTAATGAATGGAAAGAAAAGACTGGCCTTTCTGCTAAGTTATCTTAGAATATAACTCTGGCACTGTACAGACTGGATTATCTGAGGATATCAAATTTGACAAGAATAGTATGTCTTAATTCCCTAATACTGTCAAGGGTAGGGTGAGTTTGATTCTTTGGAGCAGTTCAGAATATTCCTGTAGTTAGTGCTGTCATCCAAAGGGACTCTTTTTGGATTGTCCAGCCTCTGACTCTGCAAACTAGACCATTGTATATATCTCCTATTTCCTGTTTGCCAAATATAAACAAAGCTGAGGCAGCTTGTTAATTTGTTAGCTTTACTGTACTCTCAAGTCTCAATATTGTAGATTATCTTGAATGAAGATAAACACATGCTTGTACCAAACTGAAAAACAATTTGCTTATATAGTTACCCAGGCTTTCTTCTAGGTAAGATGTTTGATGGGAAATGTTACTTTAGCTGGCACTTTATTCAGCACTCTAAATTTATCAAGAGGTCAGTGTTTCAGGCATTCCAACAAAAATTTACAATATAATTTTTTGGAGGTGGTACTGATTTAATTGCTTTATACTTGATTCAAATTAATTTCTTCAGTTCTTAAAAATTCTTCCTGATTCTGATCTCACCTATGAAGGAATTCCATTCGAGAATTTAGCATGATTAATTGTCACTTTAAACTTACTGGCATTTGTACATATACTTTTCAGTATTTAAAGGATGTGTGTCTGTATGTGTGTGTGTGTGTGTGTGTTATGTGTGTATGTATGTATATTCAGCAGCTTTGCAAATAACATTATTACAGAAGTAGTGAATATGCATCACACAAAATTAGAAAATGCAAGTACACAAAAATTTAAAATGACATTCTTACTTCCCAGAGATGAATACTGTTGAGATCCTAGGGCATATCCTCCCACATTGTTTTTCCTGTATGTTCCTGTGCACACAAACCATTTTTAACCTAAATGGGATCAAGCTCCATATGCTGTTTTATAATCTGCCTCTTTAGGCAGTGATCCCCACCTTTTTTTAAAGTAAAATTTCACTTCATCTGCTACACCATGCTCAGATTTCCTCACTGGGGCCCTGAATATCTCTTCTACCGTGTACAAAACAGCATCCAGACTAGGACCTTGCACTGCATCTGTGGTTATGTGTTTATAGTTTTGATGCAGTGAGAATGTCATTTCTTATATCTTATTTTTGTCTCTTGTTATGTTTTGATATGACATAGGAAAGTTAAATACGTACTTTTCCATATATAACAGTTCAAAACAACACATTTATCTTTATGTGAATTCTTTTTGGGCATAAGAAAGTACTGTAAATTATAATAACTAAAATCTTTTTTAATATCCTTAGTTTTAGATTTGAAATGCTTATAAGTAAGGCCCACTAAATCAAGATAGAAATTAGGTGTTACCAAAATTAGGAGAATGGCTATGTAGTAATTATCTGTATTTTCTGAGAAGGAAATAAATCATGTCTTTCAAAAGTTAGATCATCTCCATCTTATCTGTCCTTGGAGATATTACCACAAAGCACATAGAAGTAAGGTGCTTTATAATTACAGATGAGTTTCAGAAGTGTGTGTTTTGTGTTTTAACCTTTATAAATACTGTAATCTTGAATTAAGTAGTATATGTGCCTTTAATGACCCATAGTAAACCAGTTAAAGTTGACTGCGTCCTAACAGTAAAATTAAATAGCATTTTTAATCTTACTAGTGATTTAATAGTTCACCATTTAACATTTGTAGGGCCAGGAAAAGCTGCTTATAAGACTCACTGGCACAAAGTAAGTATATTCGCTTTGAGACTGTGTGATATGTGTTATCAGTCTGAGCAGGGAGGTTGAGGACTCAGGGTGCCTCCTTTTAAAAACCAGTCTTTATTTTAACTTCTCCTCATTAGTTCGTAATGGGACCTGCTTCAATTCTACTATTTTTTAAAAAGAACAATATATTAAAAAAGAATAGTGTTTTCCTCTAGTGATTACACAGTGTAACTGCCCTTCCTGTGTAAAATAACCCTTAAAAATCTTAAAACTCTTAATGTTATGTGTTAATATAGTTTAATAATATAGTTTATAGTTATCCTATTTCATTAGCTTTCAATATAGAAAACATAATAACCATGTGGTTTGTAGCCAAGGGTCTTTATAACATTGTTATGCAAATACCATTCTGAAATGTGCCCTGTTGTGATATAAATAAGCAGGTAGCTTCTTACTAGAAAGGTGTTAAATGAGATTTTCCTTATGCGTATTTCTATTAAATACAGATGTAAACCTTGTTTCCTAGAACATTTTACTTACAGGCAGAAAGTAGAAAGTGTCTGTGAATGTGCTTTGCCACATGCATCAGTGTTCACCCTGCTTCATAACCATAGTCCTTTGGAGTAAGATCTGTGTTAGAATCCTGGTTGAGTCAGTTAATAATCATGACCTTAACACATCTCTGAGCCTTGGATTTCTGTTCAGTAAAACTTGGAAATTAAAATATTGTTCTCTTAAGATCATGGCAAGAATTAAAATTAATAATATTTGCAAAATAGTTGGCAAATGCAGATATTCAGTAAATGTTAGTTTCTCTCCCAGAAGAACTTTGTAAATGTGTTTGCTTTGTAACTAAAATTTACTCAAAGTGTAAAGCATCTTTATTTAAAAAAAAAGGTCTACTTAATTAACCACCTGTATCACTTACATGGCATAATTCTATTAAAATTGGCTGCTTCTTTCTACCAGTATCAGTCACAATGGTCACAAAATATAAACTTGTCTGTCAGCCATAAGACACTAAGCTCTCATTCATCCATAAATTAGTGTGGCAACTTGAGTTTCTAAGTAACTTTTCAATTGTATGAATAGCCCACTCTGTTACATAACACCCCCCCGTCTTTTCTGTTTCAGAGAGGAAGCTCAGGGTGAAGTGGCGCCACACATTCACTGCTATGTTGCAGCTGTTGCTGCTCATACAGCTTTTCTGGAGCAACCCAAGAGCTTTCGCCCTTCCCAGTGGATAAAAGAACACAGTGAAAGACAGTCTCTGAACAGAAATAGCCTTCGTCGCCAAAATCTTACCAGGGATTGCCACTCTCGGCAAGTCAAGCACAATGGTTGGGCTGTCCATCAGCCCTGCCCACGTCAGTACAATTACTAAGAATTTCAAGTTTGGTTGGTTGGTTTCCCTTGGTTTGTACATGTATATGTGGATGTCTGTGCTTGGATGTGAAGTCTCTTTACAGCCACTTGATGACCAATCACATAGTAGTTTTATCAGTGTGTTTAGACACTATCTTGAAAACCAGATTCACATGCTGTGTATCACATAATGCCTTGCTCTTAACATTTACTTTTTTGTAAATTTTTTCAGAATATTTTTGGAAACATATCAATACAATTACAGTGTTTGGTGTTTGCAGATGTCTTTAAATCTATTAAAGTGTACATGAGTTAGCATTTTAAAGAGATTTCTTCTCAAGTCTGAGAGTAGGCATCTTTCAGTTTCATCTTATTTTGTATTACTTAATCAGTCTTTTGAGTAAGCAAAAATTTATTCTCAGGGTCAGCCATACACTTTATTGACCAGTACTTGATAATCTCTTCTGTATATAATGAATACATTTTTATACACTAACATGAGCATTAACAGGTTATAGTTGCCATGGTTATAATGGAATTATGGTTGAATTTTCTTTTGAAAGAAAACTTGATATATTTCTGTGTGTATGGGTTTTTTTTCCAGATTAGTCATGCAGTTCATTTTGGAATTCAGGTACATTAAGTGTTAGTGAGCAGTGCATCAGTAATCTGATAGGACTGTGTGACATGGTACAGACATTACTGGTATCGTGGGATGAAAGCACTTGTCTCACGTGCAGAGGGATTAAATTAGACCTGTGAAATTGCATTTAGAAAAATGTATGTCCATAACTAACCCATTTTCCACTGTTTGGATTCTTTCCTGCCAGCTCTGCCCACTCACCACCTCACTTCAGCTGTAAATTCAGAAGTACTTGTCCAGGCACTTGAATGACTTCATATGTATATCTTCCCAAGGGAAAGTGATAGGCTCTGTATTTCCGATACAGCAATAAATCCTTTGCCAGGGAACCTGTCCTGCCCAGCGGCAAGCAGGGGTGAAGGAATTCCTGGGGGTGTCTTTTCATGGCGTCTATACGAAGGGTGACAGGTCAGCTTCCTTGAGTTTTCAGTTTTTAAGTCTGGCTTCAGGCAGAATCTTGAACCACTATGGCCTGTTTCCTCCACCAACAGGGGAGCAGTAATAGTTACCTCCCTCACCGCTGTTGTGAGGACTGTATCCTGATTTGAAGTGGGGCTGTGCAGAACCGTACCTGGTGGGAAATTCCAAGGGCCTCTCTATCAAATCTGGTGATGGGGGTGGGGCCTGTGGCAGTTTTTCTGCCACAGCTGTTCTTCAGAGTGTTGGTGCTAACGAGGCTAGAGTGCAGGGTTCGATGCCCAGGGAAGCCAGTTAACTTGACATGGAGATCTGTTTCTTACCTCTAGCCAGTCACTTTAGTTTTCAGCAGTTGTATGGGTTTTGCTGAGCCATCCACACTCTCACCGATTTCTTCTGAAATTAAGTACATTTACAATCCAAAGCACATTCTGCTGACAGAGCATATTTTCCTGTCTCTTCTGCAAACCTAATTAAATAAGTACACATCTCTACAATATTTCAAGGGAAAAGGCAGCATATAGTTATGTGAAGTATTATTCTATTTCTTAGTAACCCTATAGTGCTCAATGCGGGGAACCATGGGAGACTTTTTTCCATTGGAGAGCTTTGCTCTTTCCTGACTAGACTGGGATGTCTGGAGTCTGAATCGGTCAATAGTGTAGTTAGGTGGTGGCGTTCGGTGGTTCTTCCCCTGGTGTTGATGAAGTGCCAGGAATGTCTCTAGAACAAGAGTCTATATCCCCTTCTCTCCTCATTCCCTTTCCATTTCATCTACCCCTTTATTTATTTGTTTTCTAATTAGGGGCCAAGTCTGTCAAGTTTCCTCAAACTGAGCTAGAAGTTATTTTGTTACTATTGTGTTTACCTGAGTTGGGAGATAAGGTCGAGTTTTCATGAGGGTATGTATGTTGTTACATCATGCCTGTTATAGGGCCATATACTGGTAACTTGAAGATAGACCAGCTAAATGTTTTCTTGATGTAGCCTCTGAATACATGGGCGTCTCTTTTCACATATTACATGCAAACTGTCAGTACCTCACGAGCTGTAGAAGTTCAGCATGAGAATTTGTTTGGCAGCATAAACAAATTTCTATGTAAACCTGCAGTGGTCCTTTTTTACTGTTTCTTTTTCAGATTTCCTGATACCTTAAACACATCTCTATCAGTTACTGCCTTTTTGTTTTCCTTATCGGGGCCTAGTTTTTTATGCTTTGTTCCTGGAAGACAAATGATTTCAGTCTTTGGGATGTTTTTTCAGGGTAAAGGCTATCACACCATCTGTGATATCATATTGTGGTTTCTGTCTAAAAGTGGCACATATAAGAACTGAAGAAAGTAGTTGCATAATTCAGTTGAGGTTCTCAGTCATTAGATGTTTGTTAGGCATCTACTATGTGCAAGACACAAGACGAGTAAGATGTTAACAAGTTAAGTATTCTTTGAAACACGGCCAAAATACAATTTATTATAAATTATTATTTTTGCTGTTGTAAATATTAGTGGTTTACAGTATGCTTAAGTTCATATTTCTTAAAAATTAATGCAGTGAGAAATAAGACACCTTTCAATTTAGTGCTCTGTTTCTAAACTGATAATATAGAATGTTACTTGGAAAAAGTCTGGAATATGTGGTACCCACAAGCAGTGCTTATGAATGAGTTTCTTAGTTTTTATAACGCATCACGTTTCTCAGAGTTTTTGTTTCTCTTGTTAAAACATTTTATAATGTATATCCTATGTTTATTACTTCCTCCTCAACTAATTGAATTATGTACTGCAATGTAAGTTGAAGATTCACCATCCATTATTTATCTTCTGTAGCAATGCATTTAAATAGGTGGCTGAGGGGGGAATTTTTACAGAAGGTGCAGAGTGTTTGGATTTTTTACTTCCTATTCCAGGGAGCTTCCTTTACATTAATTTTCTGTTCACTTTTCCAGTTTCCATGCAAATAGCTCCTTTTCACATACCTTCTCTGTTGTGTCAGTACTTTGATTCTAGTGAGAAGGCAGTTTACTTAAAACTTGAGAGGGCCATTCAGCATTGCCTGTTGTTTTTACTTCTTAGATCTGTGTAGCACTGGTTGGTAGTCCTTAATTCTTCGTTGAATCTGTCTTTGCTATTTCTCTTCCTCCTCAAGGAAATATATTGCCTTTTTTAAAGAGAAAAGAGCAAAGAAGAATATCTGTCTTTCTTATCCTCACTTTCTTTGAGTTGGGGAAAAAAATGAAGGACTCCAACTAGAAGATATATATTTAAACTTAAATAGATTAATGGAGAAAGTTTAAGAGTTTCAAGTATTAATTTTTGTTTTTAGCATCAGTTTAGAGACTGCTCCTTGTACTGGAGATACTAGCATATGTTTGTAATGTTACCTTAAAATTATCTTATTTTATAAGGCCCATACATAGATTAAATTCTTTTAAAAGTGGGGCTACTATCATGGATGTTTCACTGCCATCAGCCATGTTGATGCATTATAAATGGCATCCTTGTCTACTTACTTTAATGCTTAAAATTTTATTTAAAATGCTTTATTTAGAAAACCAACACGATGTTTGGTGTCAGCCTTGCCATGTACCAGTTCACTTGAAATTGACACCAATTACAGTGGTTTGGAGTGGAGGAGGTGGTCCTGGACAGCATATGGATAGGATATATTTTTCTATTTGCAACAGTATCTTTTATATGGGAGAAGTTACTATTCAAAGGAAGGCAGCTTAAGTGGATAATGTTTTGTATATCATTGAGAATTTTCCTTAAAACACTTTTTAAAAATTGTATAATTGTTAAATGCCCAGTTTTGCTCTGTATTTGCCTTAAGTTTTAGTATTCGTTTTCTAGATGGACTTCTGAAAACCAGTACTTGGGGAGGTTAGATGTGTATGTTTCCAGGCTTGGTGTGTTTGAGTGGTTTTGCTTGCTTTTTGGTTGTATTTTCCTCCAGAAGCGTGGAACTTTAATAATTCTGTGTGTTATTTAAAGAAAAAAAGGGGCTTTGTTGTTTTTTTCTCTCAAGTAAAATTGTGAATACATTTGCTTTACAAGGGCAGGGCGTCATTTATAGAGACTGAAGAGTATTGTAGGTTGTACTATGTGCCTTCTTGATGTGTTTCTGGACACAAAATTTTTTCAACAACTTGAAAACTAAAAAAGGGACATTTGGTTAGGTTATATACTGTACATCAATCTATGCATAAATGGCAGCTTGTTTTCTTGAGCCACTGTCTAAATTTTTCTGTTTTTATAGAAATTTTTTATACTGATTAGTTCATAGCTGGTCAGTTTTATACACAGACTAAACAATACAGCACTTTGCCAAAAATAAGTGTAGCATTGCTTAAAAATTGTGTATTAACACCAGTTCTTTGTAATCGGCTTCAGTGGTGCATTTTGCACCACCTGGAGTTATGGTTATTAATCTGTCAGTAAATAAAATGTCCTTTAACTTCACATTTGTCAGATTCTCTTATTTTTTCTTTATGGTCATTAGTCTTAAAACTAGGTGTATCTTAAAATGTTTGCTGTTTAGTTTTACTACCCAAAAGATGTGTTTAATATACACTTTAAGCACTTAGCCAGTACTTTTTCCCTGCAGTGAGTCTGTGTTAAAATATTTGTATTTTATATATATAATTTAATGCATTGGTTCTTAGACTTTTCTAAGCTAGCTTAGTTAATTCTCAATGGCTGTTTCCCCACATAAATGCAGACACCTCTTTAAAAACATTTTAGGGCAGTATGGACAAACACCATGTCCATTAATGCCCCCTGTGTGCAACTCTAGTTTAAATAGGCCAGTAAACATTCAGAATGCTTGAATAGGAAGCTCAAAGAATAAGTCTTGTGTTAATCCTTGGAGAAGATCAGCATTCTAGAACTATAACCTATTTCAGGAGAGATTTTTATCTCAGACTCTCAGTTGAGATGACAACACTATATGGGACAGAGGTGAGGAGGGGTCACCCCAAAGATGAAAATAAGGTCATAAAAGTTGAGTTGGTATCTGCATGGCTGGTTCCTCTCTAGACAGCTAAAGCAGATTGCCCCTGTACAAGGTAGAGGATGCTGACAAATTAATCAGACTCATTTCTCATCTGAATTGGTACCAGACTGAGTATTTATTTTGTGTATTAAGATTCTGATTAACTCAGAAGCCCAGAGAAATTGCCAGCAGAAACCTGGGATGGTGTTTTCAGAAAATCCGATGTATAATCAAAGCAAATTATAATTGACAGCACTTGTACAGTAACTTGCACACCCTGGTCAGGGTTGAACCTCAGTCAGCCAGCCTGAGGGTCAGTCCCACCCACGAATAGCCAACAGCGATCAAGACCCAATGACAACAGGAGGGCCCACATAACTCACACAAGAGACATTCCTAGAGCATCCAGCTCAGGAGACCAAGGCGATTGCATTACTGGGTCCCATAGGACACCTACTACTAAGGCCTCCCCACGAAGACTGGGAGTGAGGTGGCAGTTCTGATACATAGAAACAAACACAAAGAGACAGCCAAAATGGGGAGACAAAGAAACAGGCCCCAAATTAAAGACCAGGAGGAATCTCCAGAAAAAGGGCTAAATGAAATGGAGGCAAGCAACTTATCAGATACAAGAGTTCAAAGTAATGGTTATAGGGATGCTCAAGAAACATAGAACTACTACAGCATGAAAAAGAACATAGAAACCATGAAAAGAACCAGTCAGAAATGAACAATACCGTATCTGACATCAAGAATACACTGGAAGGGATAAAAAGTAAGATGGATGAAGCAGAGGATCAATCAACAATTTGGAAGACAAGGTAGAAAAAAACCCACACCCAATCAGAGCAGCCAAAAGAAAAAAGAATTAAAATGAGGATAGTTTAAGGGAACTTTGGGACAACATGAGATGTAACAACATCTGCATCATACTGGTAGCAGAAGGAGAAGAGAGAGAGCAAGGGGTTGAGAACCTATGTGAACAAATAATAACTGAAAAATTCCCTAACCTGGTAAAGGAAAAAACACACAAGTCCAGTAAGTGCAGACAGTCCCAAGCAAGATGGACCCAAAGAGGCCCACACCAAGACACATCATAATTAAAATGACAAAGGTTAAAGATAATCTTAAAAGCAGTAAGAGAAAAGCAGTTAGTTACCTACAAGGGAGCTCCCATAAGACTGTCAGCAGATTTCTCAACAGAAAGATTTCAGGCTAGAAGGGATGGGCATAAAATATTCAAAGTGATGAAAAGCAAGGACCTACAACAAGATTACCCAGCAAGGCTATCATTTCAAATTGAAGAACTAAAGAGCTTCTCAGACAGGAAAAAGCTAAAGGAGTTTGTTACCACCAAACCAATATTACAAGAAATGTTAAAGGGCCTGTTTTCAGAAAAAGAAAGGGCAGGGAGGGGAAGAGGAGAAGGAACAGAGGTAAAAGAATAAATACGTACCTACCAATAATTACTTTTAATGTAAGTGGCTTAAATGCTCCAACCAAAAGACAGGATAGCTGAATGGATAAGAAAGCAAGACTCATATATATGCTGTCTACAAGAGACCCACCTCAGAACAAAAGATACACACAAACTAAAAGTAAAGGGATGGAAAAGGATATTTCATACAAATGGAAATTTTTAAAAAGCTGGGGTAACAATCCTTATATCTGACAAAATAGACTTTAAAACAAAGGCTATAGTACGAGACAAAGAAGGACACAGCATAATGATAAAAGGAGCAATCCAACAAGAGGATATAGCTCTGGTAAAAATTTATACACCCAACACAGGAGCACCTAAATACATAAAGCAAATCTTTATGGACATGAAGGGAGAGACTGACAGTAATACAGTCATAGGAGGGGATTTTAACACCTTATTGACATCAATGGATAGATCTTCCAGACAGAAAAACAAGGAAACAGTGGCGTTAGATGACACACTAGATCAGATGGATTTTATTGATATCTTCAGAGTATTTCACCCCAGAGCAGCAGAATATACATTCTTTTCAAGTGCACATGGAACGTTTTATAGGATAGACCATGGATTTAAGAAGACTGAAATCCATATCAAGCATCTTCAGTGACCATAATGGTATGAAATTATAAATCAACCACAAGGAAACTGAAAAAACACACCAAGTCATAAAGGCTAAATAACATATTACTAGAAATGATAGGCCAACAATGACATCAAGGAAGAAATCAAAAGCTACCTTGAGCCCTGGCTGGTGTTGCTCACTTGGTTGGGGCATTGTCCCATAGACCAAAAGGTGGCAGGTTCGGTTCCCAGTCAGGGCACATACCCAGGTCGTGGGGTCAATCCCCAGTCAGGGTGCATGTGGGAAGCAACCAATCATTGTTTTCTCTCACACTGATGTCTCTCTCTCTCTCTCTCCCTTCCTCTCTCTAAGATCAATTTTTTAAAAAATTACTTTGAAACAAATGTAAATGAGAACACAATAACCCCAAATGTATGGGATACAGTGAAAACAGTCCTAAGAGGGAAATTCATAGCATTACAAGCCTTCCTCAGGAAACGAGAGAAAACTCAAACAATCTGACATTACACTTAAGGGAACTGGAAAAAGAACAATAAACAAAGCCCAAAGTGAGTAGAAGAACAGAAATAATAAAGATCAGAGCAGAAATAAACAAAAGAGAGTCTAAAAAAACAATACAAAAGATCTATAAAATCAAGAGCTGGCTCTTTGAAAATATAAACAAGATTGACAAACCTTTAACTAGACTCATCAAGAAAAAAAGAGAGGACCCAAATAAGTAAAATCAGAAATGAGAGAGGAGAAGTAACAACTGACACCAAAGAAATACAAAGGATTCTAAGAAAATATAATGAATAACTATATGCAAACAAATTGGACAATCTGGAAGAAACGGATAAATTCCTAGAAACGTACAATCTTCCAAAACTGAATCAGAAAGAATCAGAGATTCTGAATAGATGGATTACAACTAGTGAAATTGAAGCAGTTATCAAAAAACTACCAATAAATAAAAGTCCTGGGCCGGACAACTTCACAGGTGAATTTTACCAAACATTCAAAGAACCACCAAAACCTATCCTGAAGGAAGAACTTGGCCTAGATCACAGACCTAAGTTTAGGGAATAGGTGGGGAAGGAAGGCTGAGCTGTAATAACCGAGAGCAGGTCAGAGGTGCTATCTGCCTGAACCTCCTCCCTGGGGTGTCTAAGTAGAGTTTCTGAACTGTGGTAGTCAAGAGAGGGAGACTCAGAAGTGAGGTTTCAACCCAGTCTCAATTACCTACAAAAGTGGGGGGCAGGGGCAAAGTGAATAAGTAAAATACATTAGAAGCTCCTTAGACAAGTTTGCAATCAGAGAACCAAAAACTTCAGAGATTAATATAATGAGCATGTATCCATCAACCAACTTTATAGATTCTTAACATTTTACCATATTTGTTTCAGATGCTTTTAAGGAAATACAACTTTACTGATATAGTTGAAGCCTGTTATGAATCCCTCAAATCCCATCCATCTCCCCCGCCCCCACCCTAAGACGATTATTTGCAAAGCATGCTTTCATGCTGTGACTACATAAGTATCCATAACTATGTAATATTTGCTTCACATGCTTTCAAACTTTATATAAATGGTATCATACTGAATGGTTTGGTATAAAATTTGTTTCTCCTCCTCTAAATATTGTCTTTGAAATTTATCCATGTTGACATACACGGCTCCACCTCATTTCACCTATGGCACAGTATTCTGCAGCATGACTATGCCACAATGTATCTACCTATTCTTTTGTTGGTGATCCTGTACATACTCTATGGTCCAGCAATTCCACTCTTAGGCATATACCCAAAAGAAATATGTTTTGTCCACAAAAAGACTTTTTTGTGGACATACAAAAATATTCACAGCACCTTTATTCATAAAAGTTAAAAACAAAAAAATAACAAACCATGTCATATCCATACAATGGAATACTCAGAAATAAAAAAGAACAAAATACTGCTACATGCAACAGCATAGATGAAAGTCAAAACCATTGCATTAAGTGAAAGAAGCCAGACACAAGAGCCTGTGTATGTGTGTGTATATATATGAATGTACGATTCCATATACCCATATGTATGTACAGGATCTATCACCTATCTATTTTATCTATTCTCTAGTATAGAACTAGTGAAACCAATCTATAGTGGGCGGAAAAAATCAACACAGTGGCTGCCTCCAGGAAGGTGGAGGTGGGGGTTACTAGGGAAAGAGAACTTTCTGGGAGTGACAGTAATGCTCTACAATTTGACAGGAGTTTGTGTCACACAGTATAACCATTAATAATGTATATTTAAGATGCATTTTTCATTGAAAGTAAATATTGAAGTCTCTTAAGGCTATGCATGCTAAAGTATTTAGGGGGAAGTGTACTAATATTTCAATGTTTTTGGAAATGCATCAAAAAATAAGATGGAATGATGGGTGGAAGAGGGATCTGTGATAAAATAATCAGAACAAAATGTCGCTGGAATTTAGGTGGTGGCTATATGCATGTTCATTATAAGTCCTGTCTATTTCACTGAACATTTTAAGTTTTCATAGTAAAATGTAGGGGGGAAATTCTAACATTTGACCTGTCTAAAAGCCACTCCTCCATTCATCTTCCCTATCCCAGTAAGTGACCACCGTTCCTCTAGTTGCTCACCTTTGGGTTGTCTCTGTCTCACACACCTAATCCATCAGCACATGCTTTCGGCTCTCCCCTCAACACACATCCCGAATGCGGCCACTCCTCATCAGCCCTCACTCCCATCCTGTTCCTGGCTAGCACCACCTTCTGGCTGGATCGGCTGCTCTCCTAACTGCTCTCCCCACAGCCCACACGATCGCCTAAAACGCTTCCTCCCACTGCCTCTCCCACTCTCTCCCGTTCCCTACCTCCCAGCCATCCTGACCTCTTTGTGGATCATTAAATATGCCAAGTGCTCTGGACTCACTGTTCCCTTGCCTGGAACGTTCCTCTTTACCTGCATGGCTCTTTCTCCCACTGCACAGTTCTCTGCTCAGAAGTCACACCAGAGAGGTCCTCCCTGAACACCTACCTCATACAGAGCTTCCCATCCCATCCCCAGGCTGCTTTTATTTTTCCTCTTTCTTCTTATTACTATCTGACATACGTGTATTTGTTTTCCATGCTCCTCCCACTAGAATTAAGCTCTGAGGGGGCAGGAATTTTTGTTTGCTTCACTACTGTGCTCTGATGTGTGCTACATCACTAGGTGCAAAAATGTCACCTCCCGAGTCCTTCCCAGGCCCCTCCCTACCCACTACAGCTAAAGTAGCCCCCTCCATCATATTACCTGATTTTATCTTTTTAAAAAAATGTTTTTATTGATTTCAGAGAAAGGAAGGGAGAGGGAGAGAGAGAGAAACCAATAATGAGAGGCATTGATCGGCTGCCCCCTGCACGCCCCCTACTGGGGAATCGAGCCTGCAACCGGGGCATGTGCCCTGACTGGGAATCGAACCATGTCTGCCTGGTTCATGGGTCGATGCTCAACCACTGAGCCATGGCAGCGGGGCTACTGTATTTTATCTTTTCCATAGTGCCCAATGATAGTTATCCCCCAGTTAATAAGCACAGTGCCTGGCCCAGAGCGGGCTGATCTGCCACGTACCCTCCTGCCTGGTTCACCCTCTACCCAGAGCTTAGGGATTTCCAGAACTGCCGTTTGTCTGTTCTTCCTCCACACCGCGCAGTATCACGAACCCTGGGGGAGCTGGACCGACCGTGTCTGGGGTGTGCTCTAGCTCTCACACCCTAAGATGCCTGCCTTCCGAAGCCCCCACCTCTTGTGATGGTGGCCAAGAGCTGCTCTGGCAGAGCCAGGCACTAGAGCCCCAGAGGCCAGGAACTGCTCTCACTCTAGAGGGAAGCGCTCAGCTGCAACCCTGCTGAGCCCTCCAAGGTGCCAGCTGCAAAGCTCTTTCAAGGAAGTGTTCCCCCAATGAACACACCTGTGCAAAACCTCCGTTCAACCCACAAAGCAGACTGTGGTCAGCCAGGCCCCAGCCAGGCATCAGGGTCCCAGTGATAAATGAGACCCCCCCTCCCCGAAGCTCCCTGAAGCCTGGAAAGGGCAGTGGTAGAGGCCCGAATGGTGGACGGAGGGGAGCAGAGGAGGAGGAAGGATATAAAGGAGCCCTATCGCAGGGCAGGGCAGGCAGGACAGCCTTCTAGGGGAGGTGGTGTTTATCTGAGTGTTAATGGATATATGGGAGTTAGCTGGGGGGTGAATGAGAGGTGCAGGTGCAAAGGTTCAAGCGAGAAGGGCGGGTGTGCGGGAAACTGCATGCGGTTGGTCTTCCTGGGTGCAAGAGGCTTTGTGTGTTAGGGGGTTTGGCCTTTAACCCAAGGTGATCCACAGCAGGGCAGTGGCCCTTGGCAGCTCTGTGCTTTAGAAATTCTAGAGCTTTGGCAACACGTGTCAGGAAAACCAGTCAGGAGATTACTGCAGTAACTGAAGAAAGATTGGAGTCCTGAACTAAGGCAGAGGGAAAAGGGGATTCACCTGGAAATAATATGGTAAAGGGAGGCAGCACAGCACGGGGGTGCCGGAGCCAGAGTCCACTATGGGTCTTGGGCAATTTATATTTGTGCCTCAGCTTCCTCATCTGTAAAGTGGGGATGACAGTAATAGCAACTGTTTCACAGTGTTGGTGGAGGGTTATAGGAGTTCATACAGCAGAAAAGCTTAAAGTAGAGCTTAGCACATCATCTTACTCAGGAAGTGCTAACTGTAATTATGGAGCTCAGAAAAAAGAAAGGCCCTGGCCAGTTTGGCTCAGTGGTTAGAGCATTGGCCCACGGACCAGACCGGAGGTGCAGGTTCAATCACTGCTCAGGTAGTGTGGGAGGGGCAACCAATCAATGGGTGTCTCACTTTGATGTTTCTCTCTGTCTCTCCCCCTCCCTTCCACTCTCTCTAAAAATCAATGGAATATATATCCTCGGGTGAGGACTTATACTCCAGTTTGGAAACCAGATCTGCAGTTCTCAAAGTGTGGACCTCTGGGGGTCCCAAAGACTCTTTCAGGGGGACCACAAGGTCAAAACTATTCTCACAATAAAATTTAGACATTTGTTTTTCTCACTGTGCTAATGTGGCTGTGATAAGGCAGATACAATGGTGGTTAAAACCATCAGTGCCCTAGCTTAAATCAAGGTGGTGGCTCCAAATTATAATAGTCAGTGTACCACCACTCACCATTACCAAAAAAAGCCAGTTTACCGGAAAATGTTTCTGATGAGGCAATAAAAGGAATAATCTAATGGGTGATCAATCCAGTATTAAAACTGGGCCTGGCCTGGCGTGGCTCAGCAGCTGAGCATCGACCTAGGGTCCAGGATATCAGGGTTTGATTCCCTGTCAGGGCACATGCCCGGGTTTCAGGCTTGATCCCCAGTAGGAGGAGGCAGCCGATCAACGACGACTCTCTCATCATTGATGTTTCAACTCTCTCTCCCTTCCTCTCTCTGAAATCAATAAAGATATATTTAAAAAAAAAAAAAGGGAAGAATTTCTTCTATGATATATTTCGGCTAGGCTGGATAAAAATCTCCCGTGCAGAATTCCAAATAAATCATGTAGCTATTTCACCCTGGAGGAGAAGCATAACCCCCCTCCTGGGGTGTGGGCTGCACAGTGACTTCTTTCCAGAGAGCACAGTATGGAAAGAGGAGGGAACAACTTTTCCAACGGAAACCTGGCAACCACCACCAGGTGCTCAAGGTCAACATCAACAGCCATAAACCATGTTGACAGTATGTAACCTTGATATGAAGTGATGAAAATGGCACTTTACCTCTGCAATCGTCTTCCTCCAAACCCACAGCCTCACAGTACAACCATGAGAAAAACATTAGACACATTCCAGTAGAACGGCATCCTACAAAATACTTGACCAGCACTCCTCAAAACTGTCAGGGACATAAGCAACCAGGGAAGTCTGAGAACTGCCACAGCCAAGAGGAACCTGAAGGAAACATAACTTCTAAGGGGGATGTCTGGATCGTGTAGCAGTAAAAAGACATGAGGGTAGCCTGGCCAGAATGGGTCAGTGGTTGACCTGTGGTCACGGTTCCATTCCCAGTCAGGTAACATGCCCAGGTTGCCCGGTGGATCCCCAGTAGGGGGCATGCAGGAGGCAGCCAATCAATGACTCTCAAGACTGATGTTTCTCCTCTCCTTTCCTCTCCCTGAAACCAATAAAAACATGTATTTTTTAAAAAGACACAGGGTAAAACTAAGGAAATCTGAATAAAGTATGGACTTTGTTTAATAACGCATCGACATTGGCTCACATGGTAATAAATGTAGCACATCAATGTAAAATGTCAACAACCGGGGAAATGGAAGTGGCAGGGCGGGTGGAGGAGTATATGGAAGCTCTGTTCTACATGCTCAATTTTTCTGTAAATCTAAAACTTTTCTAAAAAATAGTTTATTAATTAAAAAAAACTGATATTAATTGGAAACAATTCTACCATTCATCCTTCTAACCAGAGAGAATGAAGTTTCATAGTGGGATAGACAATGCATCATTCAATTCACGTCCTACTACGTGTACCTCTGAGCTGCTGGGTCCTGGCTACAAAAAGATGAACACAATGAGATTCAAGGCCTACTTAGAAATAAAAGACATTTTAATGGGTAATTCTTGTCCTGTGAGGTGAGCGTAAGTACAGAGGAAGGGGTCTGGGAAGGCTTCATCAAGGAGGTAAAAAATGCACAGAAGCAAGAAATAAGTGGCTTGGTCCTAATTTTTAAAAAAGTGGTGCCCCTAAGAATGATCTGGAGTTTTCCCCCCTTTTATTCTGAAAATGAAAGCACTGTAAAGGCCAATAGTTTATTCACCATGGTGTTTTGACTTTGCATGTGCAGTGGGGGGAAATATAGTTTAGAAAAATCCCAAAATTTCTAAAATTATTACAAGTATACAGGAATTTCAAAGTGAATTTTTAAAACTGGGATGAGTGGGAAAAGGAACTAAAAATGAACATATAAAAATATGAAACAAAGATAACATTGAAAGATGATGTCTAAAATAGATACCCCAAAGGATCACTACATGAATAAAATTCTGAGAAACAGCAGTTTTATAGCTCAGATTTCTGTTCTACTCAGGACCCTTCAAATTACTACTTCATTTCTATGGGTGTAAATTAGGAACAGGCAGGACAAGAGCGCCAAGAGGTAGCACCGAGCATCTTGCACAAGAGTGTCTCTATATACACGATCTATATACACGATCAAGTGTAAACTTTAAAAGAACCCTTGAAATGAGTGTATTGTTTCAACTTTTCCAGAGGAAACCCAAGCTCGGAGAAATCTGGTCACCTGCAGCAGGGCAGGGCTGTAAGTGCAGTAACAGGTGAAGCCCACGCTCTGTTTAGTCTCCCTTGACCACGGACCAGGTACGTGTACTAGGGCGGAAGGCAGCCTGTTGGGGTGCTTCTAATTTCTCCTTTACTATAGTTGCATCCTCTCCACCTCACAGTCAAGGGCACTGGCCAAAGTACACTTCTACTCCGTGTCCCGTTTTCAAGTAATTGCCCAGTTGGCCCAGTGCTGAGCACACAGGACTCCAAGGTTAATCCTACAAATGTCAGTGACATCCGTGGTGGTCAGGCATATTCTGATGATTCAGCTCACTCATTCCGGTCACCAGTTCTGCTCAGGCTCGGGTGAAGACCCCCTTTGCTTACATCAGGCTGTTAGATCTCTAGGCCTCACCCCCAACAGCGTACTGAGGTGACTGGAAGAGGGAGGCAGCTCCTCCCCTAACGAGAGCGCCACCGCAGGCGTGGCAAATGGTACGAAGTTTCTGGGTCCCTCTTGATTCTGTCACCTTGGGCAAGACTCTTCCTATTTCCTCATGCGTACATTTGGGGCAAATACAATCCCTTTCAGGCGTCACGACGCTCTAGCAAGGCACGAACGTAAAAGTGGGGAAGGGGAAAGGGCTCTGCTGGCCCGAAAGCCCAAGGGCACCCATTGCTTGTAGGCTCGGAGGCCCGCACGGACCCCGCGGCACAAAAGGAGCGGGGAGGGGACCCGGGTGGGTCCGGCCGCCGCCTCCTGGTGCATCTCGGGAAGGGCTCCGCCTGGGCCCGGCCCCGGCCCCAGCCCCG